TGTCAAATGCTTTTCCACATCTATTTAGATGGTCACATGGTTTCTATTCTTTATTTAATGTGATACATCGCACTGACTGACTTGAGGATGTTGAGCCATCCTTTCATCCCTGGGGTGGATTCCACCTGGTCATAGTGCACGATCCTTTTAACGTATTGTCGAATCCAGTTTGCTTATATTTTGTTGAGAATTTTTGCATCCATGTTCATCAAGTATATTGGCCTGTAATTTCCTTTTTTTTAAATGTCTTTAATATCTTTGATTTTGGTATCAGGGTAATACTGGTCTCCTAGAGTCAGTTTGGAAGTGTTCCTTCCTCTTCAATTTTTTTAAATTGTTTAAAAAGGATCCTTCTTAGACTGCTTGGTAGAATTCACCTCATTTCTTAGAAGTTTTATTGATTACTGCTTCAATTTCATTGCTCAGTAATTAATCTTTTTAGACTTGGTTTTGTATTTCTTCCTGGTTCAGTCATAGAAGGTTATACGCTTCCAGAAATGTACCCATTTCTTCTGGATTGTTGAAGTCGTTGGCATATAATTGCTCCTAGTGTTCTTTAAAGATTCATCGTCTTCCTGTGATGTTGGTTGTAACGTCTCTTTCATTTGTGGTTTTATTTACTTGGGCTCTCCTCCTTTTTCCAGATGAGTTTTAGCTCAGATTTGGCAAATGTACTTAGCCGTTCAAAGAACCAGCTCTCAGTTTTACTGATTTTTTCTGTTTTTTTAATTTCTATTTTATTTCTACTTTGATCCTAACAATTTCCTTAGTTCTGTTTACTTTGGGTTCTGCTTTCCCTAGTTCCTTTGGGTGTAGAGTTAAAAACTGTTTGAGATTTTTCTTATTTCTTGAAGTAGGCTGTATAGCTATGAACTTCCCTCCCAGAACCACTCTCAGTGCATCCCATAAATTTAGAAGAGTTCTGTTTTCATTCTTATTTTTCTCAGGTACATTTTGCTCTCTTCCTACCACTGGTTGTTCAGTCACATGCTGCTCAGCCTCCACATGTTTGGAGTTTGTGCGTCTCCCAGTTCTCCTCTTGTAGCTGAACTCCAGTTTCCTGCCACTGTGGTCGGAGAAAATGCTGGATTTGACTTCAATCCCCTGGAATTTACGGAGGCTTGTTTTGTACCCTAATAAGTGGCCTGTCCTGAAGAATGTTCCCTGTGCACTGGGGAAAAATACGTGCATTTAGCAGGCTGGGGATGAACTGTTCTACGAATGTTTATGAAGTCGAGCTAATCTCATGGGACACTTAAGGCCACTACAAGGAAATCCTTACAGTTTAGTGTGAGAATGAGCTATCTATTGATGTGAATGGGGTATTAAAGTCCCCTACCGTTACTGCACGACTGTGGACTTCTCCCTCTATGTTCACTAATAATCGCTTTATGAATTTAGGTGCTGCTATGTTGGGTGCTAAGCAACTTACAATTGTTATGTCGTCGTCTTGGATTGACCCCTTTATAATTACGTGTTGTCCCTCTGTCTTTTTTTACTTTTTGTGTGTTAAGGTCTATTTTGGGCAATGCAAGCATTGCTACCCCCGCTTTCATTTTTATTGCGTGGAGTATCTTTCCCCACCCCTTCACTTTCAGTCTGTCTTCTACTCTGAGGTGAACCTCCTGTACGCAGCATAGAGAGGGGTCATGTTCCTTAATTCATTCACCCACCCTGTTCTTATTGGAGCATTTAACCATTTACATTGGAAGGAATTACTGGGAAGTGTGTACTCGTTTCCATTTTGTTAATTGTTTTTAGCTGGTATTATAGTTCTGTTCATTACTTCTCTTGATCTCTTCCCTTTGCTTTACTGTTCGGCTGCGGTGTTGTTTGGGTTTCTTTCGCTGTGTTCTTTGAGTACTTTTTGCAGGTTTTTGGTTTGTGGCTATCGTAAGGTTGATGTAAAACCACTGTAGATCTGCAACAGTCTACCTGAAGCCGGTATGTGACTGTTCAAATACGACCACCTTTCTCGCCCCGCGCCCGAGCTTTAGGCTACGGATGTCACGCTTTAGCTGTTACGTATCTCCTAAGCGCTTACTGCCGTTTGAATTGAATTTGAAACTTTTTTCTTTTGACCTTCGTAGTGGCTTTTCAAATGTCTGATTTGCTGCATTTATTAAACATCTGGATTTACCTGAGAGGTTTTTTTCCCTTTCTCACATCCCTTTTATCCGGTTATGGGCTTTCCTTCTCTGCTTGAGGGAGGCCCTTTAACATCACTTGTAGCGCTGCTTTCCGGCTCTCGCGGGCCCCGGAACCCCTCGCCCCTACAAACGCGAACCACAACCTCGCCGGTTGAACAAGCCTACGAGGTGGGTTCCCTTCTCTGAGCCTGTCAAAGACGCCTGCCGCTCCTCTCGGGCGACCATGGCCCCGAGGTCTTGACCCCACTGCCAGTCCAGGCCAGAAGGCAGGCCAGGCAACGAGTCCGGCCACCCCCCAGCAACACCCGTCCGCCTCCGCCGCGGGCGTCCCGTCTCACGCCGCCGCCGCCGCCGCCGCCGCCGCCGCCGGCCGGAGGGTCGGGGGCCGCCCTGCAAACTCGCGGCGCGCGGCGCCTCGCTCGACAGCGTCCGAGGCGGGAAATAACTGGGCGTAGAGGCAGCCGCGTCAGGGCCCTGGGGCCCTGGGCCGGGCCTCCGGTCCGTCTGAGCCCCGGTGCCGACGATGCTTCGTCCCCGGTCCGGCTCCGGGCGTCAGTGCCGGCCCCGGGGCGACCCCGCCAGGGAGGAGCTCCTCCAGCCTGCGCACTGCAGAGCCTGCGAAAGCGGCCTGCGCTCCCGTCCGGGCCCAGCCGCGGCCCCGCAGCGACGACCCCTTCCGGCCGCTCTGCGGTCTCCACGCCTCCCCCACCTCAGCGCGCCGGCGCCCGAGAGGAAGGCGGGGCCCAGAGGCTCAGCCCCAGGCCCGCCCGCCGGGGCCTCGAGCCCACCTGCCCTGTGGCCAGCAGGAAGCTCGGCGGGCCGTGGGGGCGCCCGGGGGGAGGGCCGCCGCAGACCTGCAGCCCGCCGGGCGCGCCGGAAGCACGGCCGTCTAGGCCGCCCGGGGCAGGCAGCCTGCGCGCCCCCAACGCCAGGGCCAGCCTCCAAGGTCCGGGGCCCTGGCCACCCTTGGGGTCCGTAGCCAAAGACATGAAAGCGAAGAGCAAGTGAGTTAGAGGGACGCGCTTGCTGCGTTTCTGTTCACCTTGAAGGCTAAGTCTTATGAACAGAGCCCGGGGCTGGCTTCGCTCCTAATTAATTCAGGGGCTAAAAAAAATGAGCCATTCCTCCTGACTACCGAGCACGAGAACCAGGACTCGGCGCTGGCTCCCAGCCAGTCGCACGCTGCTGGCCGCCCCGCAGAGCCACGGACGCGGCTACTTTCCCTCCAGATGGCGGCGTGTACTTTTCCAAGCGGACGCTCGTCCCCCCCGGGCCCGCCTCACCTTCCGACAGCGCCCTGTGTTCTCCCAGCATCCTCTGCGAGCACCAGCTTCGCAGCACCTCCAAATGTCCTGCCACCTACGGAATTCATTAGCACAGTTTACTGCCCCTTCACTGGTTGCCGTGTTTTGGGTAAAGCATGGCCTCCGTGGGCCCGCAGCAGGTACCCTACCCTGGGCCCCTTGTCCAATCAGCTCCCTCGTGGTGCACAGTGCGTGCCCAGCTCCGACGCGGCCGGGCGCTCGTCCCAGGCAGGAGAGCCAATCTCGGGTCCAGCAGGAGGGCCATGCCCCCCGGGGCTGCCACAGGAGGGGGACTGCGCAGAAGGAAAGGCAGACAGAGGGGCTCGGAGGAAAACCAACTGGCACTCAGCTAAGAAAAGGCTCTGCTGGGAAAGCAATGGGGACAGAGGGCCACCTGAACACACGCGTTCAGGGCCTCTGCATGTGACCTGCATCTTGGAAGGAAGAACGCACAGGATGAAACAGAGGGAGAGAGGAGGGAAAGAGATAAAGCAGGACCCAGGGGAAAGGGGGCAGGAGAGGAGGAAGGAGAATAATCCGCTTCTTCATTGGCCACTGACACTATCAATTAACACGCAACCTGGGTGGGCATTTCATGTTCAACAACACAGGAGTTAAAAAAATAAGACAAGATCTCTTATCACAAGGATCCATCTGGAGAACAAACCAGCACCACGGCCAGGGAGGCCAGCGTGAAACCAGCAGCAGGCGGTGCACACAGGCGTGGGGGGTCTCCCCCACCCCCGGACCTGGGGGGTCATCCAGACCCAGGCGATGCTGGGGCCGCAGATAGATCCAAACCCCACACACTCACCCCTGTGATAAAGTGTAGTTTATAAACAGATACAGTAAGAGGTTAACAATAACTACGAGTGAAATAGAACAGTCATAACAGTAGAGCACAACAGAAGTTACAGGAATAGTTTTAGGGTCATTACTACGTAAAAGAAGAGTTGATACCTGGCCGTCAATCTGATAACCAGGCCGACTACCGAGTGACTAACAGGCAAAGCATCCACAGCGGGGGACGCGGGGCAAGGGATGGCTCGGGTCTCGGGTGCGGCACAGTGGGACACGCCAGATTTCGTCGTGTTACTCAGAAGTGCACACGATGTAAATCATGGGAATTGTTATATTTCTGGCATTTTTCCATGTAAGATTTTTGGATCACCATCCTGACCGGTGTGGCTCACTGGGTTGGGCATCATCCCACAAACCGAAAGGTCACGGGTTCAATTCCTGTTCTGGGCACACACCATATGCATTTGTACATGACTAATGTTCAGCCATAATATTCAAGCTAGTCGTGACCTTGTACCGATGCACCAGATATATGGAAAAATATTTAAGCAAACGGTTTGTATCTCTCAGATCAGCCACAAGCTCTGCCAGGTTAAACAGGCTGTGCTATTATATCGTTCATAATAGGAACTGATATCCTATCTACTGGAATGGCTGAATCTGCCCACGTTAGTTTTGCTGCAAAGAAAATGCCCGTCCTTCCAGTGTGCTGGCTGGGGAAAAGCAGTTTTTGGAAATCACTCACCTTTCCGCCTGTCCTCCTTCCCGCATCCTGCGCTCAAACACGCCTGGGGGAGCCCGTCGGGGTAAGATTCCTGCAACGAGACAGTTCGCCAGTCCAGCGGTTATGCCAGGACAGGGAGTGGGCAGCCGTTCCCAGGCCAGAACCATCCAATAAAAACTTTAAATTTTCTAGTAGCTGCGTTTTAAAGAAAACGAATACATGAAGTTCCATCTGATAACCTACTTTATTCAACTTAGTGTATCAGAGATGCTATTTCACCATATGATCAATGCACGACATTCCTGCTCACCGCGCCTCAGCCTGCTGCGTGTGACGCAGACAGGCCGTCCTAGTTCAGGGGAGCCACTTTTCAAGGGCTCGGCGCCCCCAGGGGCGCTACGGCCGCAGCCCCCCAGTGGCAACACGTGGCTGGAGAGAAGCAAGTGGAGAAAGGGTTTCCAAAGCATGAGGGGCCCCTGGTCTCCTAAGCGCCTGACTCCCCTTTCCCACGGCCCCTTTGACAAAGCAGCTGCCTGGACTCGGAGGCTTTCCAGGGTGCGGAGTCTCAGATCCAAAGGCACAGCACGCTCAGCGTGACGGGAAACACAGAACACACACTGCAGGGCCCCCAGGCACACGAAACCGCGGAACACGTCCCCCCTCCTGGCTGACAGCTCAGCCCGGCGTCCTGGCCAAGGCTCTGGCTCTGTGGGTTCTCGTGCCTGGTAAGGAAGCCACGCCGAGAACGAGCCTCTCCACAGGCAGCGGGACGCGGCGGGGGGGCGGGGGGGGGCACCCTGTTCCAGCCACAGGTTCCGACCCGGCACCTCCGAGCCCGCGTGGCTGCTTCCCGTCGGGAGCCTTGCCCACCCGGGGACCCCGAGAGAGTAAGAACCACTTTCCAGGTACTTGCAGGGCCTGGCTTCTTTTTCCTCAAGGGCCTTTGCTGCTCAAAGGTGATCCAGGGAGTTCTTGTCAACCCATTTTTTTCCTCACATCACCTTCAAACTGAAGCTGCTTAAATTCGCTCTGATGCCTTAAAGTTGCTGAGAGGGACGGAGGGACCCCCCCCTTCCAGAGCTGAGCTGGGGGACGGCCCTGCTTGAGCCGCCGCCTGGACTGAGCTCGCCCGCCCGGGAAGGCCCCGGTCTGTGGGAGCTGCAGGAGGGGGGCGTCCCTTCCACGGGTACGTCAGCCCGAAGGCGGGGCCCCCACCAGGCCCAGTCTCTCGTGGAGCCCACTCTCCACACCTCCCCCTGGGCACAGACAAGCCCCCGACAAGTGACTTCAGCGGACGGAAGCCAGAGGCCCCGCCCTCGCGCCTCCTGAGGCTCGGAGGGCGCTCAGCGCACGACGTGACCTTCCCGGGCCAGCCCCCCCAGTGCCAGCGACAGCCACCAAGACCCGGGGGGCTGGTGCCGGACCTCGAGGGAGGAGGCGCCGAAACAGACGGACGGGGACCAGCGGAGGCCGTCTCTCCAGGGTGGCGGCGGCGCCTTCCGCGCGGCCGGAGGCGGAGAAGCCCCGGCTCCGCAGGGAGGTTCCGGGCGGCCCCGTGAGCGGCGCCGGGTGCCGGGCGGGGGCACCGCGGCCGGGCTCTGCTCGCCCACCCTCACCGCCTACACGGTGGGTGCTGTTTCACCCACGAGACGCCCAAGGCTCAGAGCAAGGCCGCACTGTCCGAGGTCACGCTGCCAGGCAGTGGCCGGGCCGACAGCGCGGCCCAGCAGCCTGGCTCCGGGTGGCTGTCCTCGCTCCACACACTGTCCCTGCGCAGAGTGCGTGGGCCTGCGGGCCTGGGGGCGAGGTTCCGACCTGAGCCAGCCCGGAGGCCCCGCAGCTGTCTCGGCGCCAGAACCCTTGACCGAAGGGGCCGTGAGGACGGCGGGGGCAGGGAGCCCAGGGGTCCACCCGCTGCATCCATGTCAGTTGTCCCACCGCCGCCCCGCCGGCCGCACCAGCTGCGTCCCCCTCTAGGGTGAGCCGGCAGGGCCAGGGTGAGTGACAGGCGAGAACAGAAAGGTTCTGCCGGGACGGTCCGGGCCAAGGAGCCCGGACTTCATCCAAGCACGGCGGGCAGTCTCTGCCCGGCTCTGAGGCAGGAGTGGGGGGACCAGACACCGTTAGAGGGACCCCAGGTCCCCCACCCCCCAGAGAAGAGGCAGGGGAGGGCCAGGCAAGGCGGCAGGGAGGCTGAGGCTCAGGAGAGGGGGCGACGCTCACTGAGCACCACCCGCCGGCGGCGCCCAGGGCCATCGCGTCCTGGAGGCCCCACGTCCCAGACGAAGGTGCTGCAGGGCCACGCCCCCTCAGAGGCTCCAGGGCAGACCCTCCTCGTCCCCCTGCTCCTGGCGCGGCCCACCTCCCCGGCTTATGGCTGCACCCCGCCCCCGACTTCCCTCCCCCCCTCCTACCCCCCCACCCCCGCGGCTGCACCCCACTGCCTCAGGACCGCCCCATCCCGCACAGCCTTCCTTAACCCGCTGCACCTGCGGAGACCGCGTGTCCGAACTGGGCCCTGTTCTGAGGTCCCAGCGGACGCGAACTGGCGGGACCCCTCACAGGGCCGTGGCGACGGCGGCAGGACCGAGCGGGGGAGACCGAGGGACAGCGACGGGCGCGTCACAGCAGCACAGTGGGAAGGGGGTGCTCGCTCCTGAAAAGGGAAAGTGCAGCGCGCAGGCCTGCGTTTCCTCTAGCCCACCCCGCAGGGACGCGCGGGGGACCGAGGCAAGCCACTTCCTGACCAGGTGGGAAGAGTGGGGTCAACAGTGTGGGGCGGGGGTGAGGGGGGCGCCGAGACTCCCTCGTGGACGCTTTATGATCGAGTTGACTTCTGGAAAGACGTAAGGGCAACACGCAGTGGAAGAAAAACCTAAGTCCATTATTCCCAAGCCCGAAAATCAGCCTTTGGGGGTTGAATGCAGGACAGGGTGCCGCTCACCCGGCTGCCGGCAAGGAAGGGCGCGGGGGCCGCTCCTGGGGCCCGGCACGCGCGGCCCCGGGTAAGATCCACCCCGCTAGACGCCGCGACGGCGCGCTGGCCTGCGCACACTGCTGTGTTCATTCGTTTCATTTTTACGTAAGCGCGCGCACGCCCCCCAGCGCTGGTCCACGGCGTCCTACCTGCAAAACAGGGTGAAAGCGCCCCGTCTACGCCAAAGCGCCCCTGCCCCCTCGCGGCCCGTCGCGCTAAGGCCGAGGACACAGAATGCTGTCACCGCACACGCCTCCTGTCGTGGAATCACACGACACAAAGTCCATGGAATGAGCTTCAAGCGAGGTCACACGGGGTTAGGACAGGCCTTGCGCCCCACAGCTGGTGTCTCTACAAGACAGAGGGGGAGACGCAGGAAGCCACACACGGCCCTGGAGAGGAGGCCAGAGGGAGAAGGTGGGGGCTGAATGCCGTCACAGGCCTGGCGCCGGGCGCCTGCAGGACCCGGGGACGCAAGGAAAGGCCCGCCCGGGGCGCCCGCGTGGGCGCACGGCCCCACCACACCTTGGTTGTGGACTCCGGCCGCCGGAGCAACGGGAGAGGGAGCGTCCACCGTCTCGGCCCCTTCACGGCAGCTCCGGGACGGCAACAGGCGCCCGGGCTGACCGAACCCGGGCCCGCCTGCAGTCCCTGCGCCGGGGCTTCAGGAAAGACGGGAGCGTTCGGGAACGCAGCAGCCATCCTGCAGAGGGACGGAGGTCACGAGGCACAAGCGGGGTTGTGACGCTGGCTGGAGACCGGTCTGCGGGCCCAGCGGCCGCAGACAGCGGGAAGCAGCCTTCTGAGGTCCGTCCTTCCGTTCAACCCCAGCCTGAAAGGGTCCATCCACAACGGGGCTAATCCTCCCACTGATATTTAATCGCGCGGCTTTCTCGCCTTTGTTCCTCAGCCCCATCCACGGGTTCCTTACTCTCCCCTCTTTACTCTCCGGTCCCGCTGCTGGAGAGGGGCTTAATCCCCACGCATAAGTGGGTCACAAAAGGAAGACCATCACTTGGCAAAGTTAGGCCTGCACTAGTCGCTCCCTGTCCAACGGGGCGCGTCCGCGTGATTAACTCAATGTTCCTGATCATAAAAGCAATGCGAAATCATTGTAAACGCTGCCAGAGCTGGAAAAACTTTTACATAATAAAAATCCCCTTTTAATTGCAACACTGAAAGACATATGTTGTTGGTATGTTGGCGATATATACTACTGGTACCTTATGTAATTAAGAGAAACACTTTATAATCAAAGAAAAAAACTTTGAAGATGGGACATTTGGGAAGGATCACCCAGACAAATAAAATGGATGGGAGGGGCGTCAACACGGGAGAAAAATGGAGGAAATTGCACCAGGAACCTGAGGCCAGTGACCCCCCCCAGCACTGCCAGAGCCGGGGGCTGCACCCAGGAAAAGGGGGACTCGAAGGCGTGACTCTCCCGTAAGATGAGGACCCTTAGGCCGGCCTCCGTAACACGCAGGGTATCGAACTACTGAACTTGACTCATGTTCTCATGAAGCTGCTTGTTTCAAATTCCACAAAGTAGCTTTCTAACCTGGAAAAGCTATACCTTCCTATTCCCCAGGAAGATTCCATTTTTCCCCCAAATTTTAGTTTCCTAGCAACCGTCACACGGCGACCGAGACGGGGCGTAAGCCCTTGGCACGGGCCGCCCACAGCCCAGGACCGCAGGCCGGCCTGACAACACCAAGCACTGGAGAAAGACCCGGAGCTGGGAGGCCGGCGGTTCCCTCCGCCTGACCCGGGGCCGGGGGCCGGGGGGCGGGCGGGGGCACGGCGACCACGACACTCACAGCCAGCCAGCCGGGGCCTCGCAGGCCGGGAGGGGTGCGTTGCTTCCGGGAAGAGGTGGATTTGGCAATTAAACTCAGGGGCTGTCTGTCAGGTGTAACTTCAGCCCTTCGCCCTCTAAGAAGCTCCATCAGTCTGTCCTGCTGCCAAGGGCAGGCCACCCAGCCCTGGCCGGGCGGCCCCGTGGCTTGGCCGTCGACCGCAGGATGACCGGTCACAGGGGCAGGGCCTGTCCAGGGCCCACGCTGGGGTTGGGGGCTCGGCCCGGGCCAGGCCCGCGCGAGAGGAAACCAACC